ATTAGCTGTCATCACAGCTGAGCATAATCATCTTTACGTTTCAATCACTGTGGAGGAAAGGGTTTGGAAGGAATACAGATCTCTCATACTGAATATTGTTGAGCTTTAAAGCTGATTTTTCAACTCAAATAATAAATACAGGATATTTTCTGCACAATTTTCATGGAGACATTCTGTTGTTCAGGCTCCTTTTTATGTAGAATATTAACATTTATTGTGAATTCATTGTATTTGAAATGTTTAGGTTTTAAATATGGAAGCTAAAAAAACTTAGTAAGGAAGGAAAGAAATAAGAGACTGAAGGAAAAATTAAAGTGTACAGGGAAGGAGAATAAGGACAGAATAAACAAAACAAGGTACCAAGAAAAAGGAAATGAAGGAAAGAAGGAAGGAGACGAGCAATGATTTGAGTAACTAAGGAAAGGAGATAAGATGGATTCAATGAAAGAAGAATAAAAACATGGAAGAACAAGGAATGTAGGATGGAAGGGAAGCATGGCAAATCAGGGAAGGAAAGATAGAAGAGAGGAAGGGAAGGAACAAGAATGGTAAGAAGGAAGTAAAGAAAGACAGAAGGAAGGAACAAAGGATGAAAGAGAGAAGGAAGCATGAAAGTGTGCAGAAGAGAAAGGAAGGAGACAAGTGAAATAAAGATGGAAGGATTAAAGGAAGTAAGGACAGAAAAAAGGAACATTTAAAAAAGGAAGGAAGGAAAGAAGGGAACTAAGGATGGATTGAAGGAAGGAAAGAAAGAAGAAAGAAAGGAAGTAAAGAATTGGTTAAGAAGTAAAGGATGGACAGAAGAAAAGAAGACAAACAGAGAAAGGTATATAGTAAAAACAGAAAGAAATAAGGAATTGTGGAAGGAAAGAAGAATAAATGGAAAGTCAAAATTACAAGGACACAAGGAAAGGAAGGGCAAACCGAAGGAAGGTAGAATCCCAGCAAGGTAGCAAAGATGAAGGAAGGAGACTAAGTGTGGAAATAAGAATGTTTCTCTAAAATCCATTTTGTTCATCGAATCCTGGAAAATGATTCCAGACTTTTCCAGACCTTTCTGCTGGTGAATCCAAAGCGTCTGATTTCTACTCTTCCCTCCTTCTGCAGCTTTTTTCCTCACCGATTCCTCCCATCAATTTATTGCCTCCATCCATCACCACTTCTTTCAGGTGTCTCCCCTCATTTTCCCGTACAATCTCTTCCTTCATGCTCCGCTTCCTTTCCTTTCCTGTCGCGCTCCCTAGCTTTCATCCTCTGTCCTTTCTCTGTCCTTGCTGCCTTCCAGCACTTAGCTTTGATTAGCAGAATGACTGGAAGCCTTTCAGTTAGTTCATCATCCCGTACATGCGTTACCTGCTCCCTACCATTCTTCATTTCTGTGCAGGAAGAGGATGCACGCTGGGATCTGGACGGACGCTAAAAGCCTGCCAGTAGGGCGCAAGCAGCCGCTACCAGCTCTGCTCTTACTGATCAAATTTTCATCAAAGCGAACAGTTTTCTTCCTCTCTCTCACTTTTTGAGTCTGGAACGAACTGCAACCAATGACTGACTGAGTCGCTCGTCTTCCCATTCAACAAAAATCATACACAAAACTTTAAAATGGAGGAAATTACAGCCAATCTAAAATCATATTACTGAAAACAATGCAAGGTTTTAAATGGCAGTGTTGGGCAAAAATACCTTCAATGATTCACAAAACATGTTTATTTAAAGTGTAATTAACCTGCAAATCAACTTCTTTTGCTTATAAACTGTTTGATTATCGAGGGTGTATCTTTATGTTTCTGCTAATTGTGAAAATTTTGTGTGAATTTGCTTAGTTACGCATTATTTTGCCAAAAACCTTCTCAGTGGTTGAACCAGTGCATAAGCAGTTGAATTGTTCTATTTTTTAAAAGCGCTTCAGATACAAAAAGTATCACTTTTTTTTATTTGAAAAAGTTGATAAAAGTAGCAACAAACTGCAAATTAAAAACTGTGCATCTTTGGTCCAAAGCCTCTGAAGACGATCTGTTTTTCTATGACGGTCTCCTGAAGAGCATGCTGAGGGCTGTTTGCAATGTGCTTGATTTCATGAAGAACCCAGTCATCTCCAGAACAGAATCAGCCATCTTTGTCTGATTAAATCTGAATCCTACAAACAGCTGATTAGTCTTCACGGCAAATGTCATTTCCTTAAATAAATAAACATTCTCATTCTTCTATTAAAATGAAATCACAAATCTGGTTTAGAGTTTTTTTAAACCAACAGAAGGAAGTTCGACAGTTTTCAGCTGTGATGATGAAACTGAACAGGTCAAAAATAAAAGCACGTTTTCAGCAGCAATCCTTATTAAATCCACTAAAACAAACGTCCGCAGCGCCACGCCCGTCCTTTCAAACGGATTAAATTACTCAACTCTCCAGTCAAAGCGCAGACCTCCTGCTCCGTTCATGTTTGATTTGTATAATATACAGGATGTAATAAAACAGAATATGAATGTCGATACTTTCCATTTCTCCCCCTCATTATCGAGCATGTTGAGTGGCTCTAATGTTGACGAAGTCTCTCCGTCTCTAATGAATATGATTTAAATTCTGAACAACATGCAGACAAAGTCAAGAGGCCGAATATTCGCTAAGGTCACAGTCTGACTCTCCACGTTCAGGCTGTTTGTCTCCTTTCTCTCTGGATGTTTTGGCTTCAATAGCTTCTCAAACAGTCAGGAAGTCTCATAGCAAAGAGGCAAATCATTAACTGTTCATAAAATCCAGTTCTGTTGAGGCCCATTAATTCCTCAGGAGGCAGTTTTATAATAATAATTTAAAGAAACTGAACAAAGATTAGCTTAACATAGTTTCCACTGCTTATCCAGGGCTGAAACGATTAAACGGATTATTCGTGATTAATCAATTATTGAAATAATCGCCACCTATTATAAGAATTGATTAATCGCTAGCTGGAATCAAAATATGGTATTTCCTGCAACAACAAAAACTCAGAGAAGTAATTAAACCAAATCTGTACAAAAATATAAATTTTTTTGCATCTATGACAAAATGCCAGACATTTTGGGAGTAGAAAAAATCTCTTTTTTTATCTACTTATTAATCAGTTAATCTAAAAAATAAACAAAAATAAGGTTTCAAATGTTATTGGTCTGAAGAGTTTTTTTTGTTGTAAACCTAAATGATCAAACGTTCAATAAAGGAATTCCACTTTATCAAATGTCAGGTAACACAATGTGTATTTTCTCAGTAAATAATGACAATTTTGTTTACTTTTAACGCATAAAAAATGTTTAAATGAAACATCTGCAGAGTGTGGCGATTTTTTATGTGATTAATCGGTTAATCGTCAGAAAAATCTACAGACTAATCAATAACTAAAATAATTGTGACTTGCAGCTCGAAATTTACAGCCAACTTGTGGCTGTAATAATCTTCAGTATTGGCTTTAAATATCTTTTTCAGGTCTTACCAGCATGAGCTAATTTCGTTCCTTTAACATCTCCAACCAATCTTTTACTGAAATCAACTGTCGCTGATGTCTTTTTACCCCCTGCAGCAGAACCCAGCATTTCTTCAGAACCGTGTCGACTTTCATTCAGTGCCAGAAAATCCAGCAGCAGTCCATCATCTTCTCAATCAAACCCCCCCTCAGCTCTCCAAGGCTGCCTGTCAGCCATTTATACACCTTCACCAACCTGCAGGGAACCCCAACCTGCAGCCGGAGGAAGGGGCATAAAAAGCACAACTGACCTGAAATGAATGAATCTCATTCAGGGAACAAAAAAACCTGCTGTGAAATATTAAGAGTCATCATTTTTTTAAATCAAGTACGTCAAACTTTAACATCTTGATAAGTTTCCAGCTGATCGACAGCAACCAATACTTTCCAGGGGATTTCTAAGGTAATGAAAGCAATTTAAACTCACAATAATTCAAATATACTTCTAGCTTGCCATTTGTCTTAAAACCAGTTTCTTTCAATTACGTATCAAAAACTTTATTGATGATATTTAAATCATGTAGATGATGATTTGTAGTTGTTTTCCATTATGTACTCGGTCTAATCTCAAGCAATGTGCTTCTCTACTACAAGGTGGTAAATCGTCTTTTTAGCCCAAAACAGGGATCATAACGATACATAATTGAAACAAAACAAGACAGTAAAAGATATAATACAAAATATTCAAAAACAACAGCTAACATAAATAATACATCATGTTTAATTATGCAAAGCTCATCAAAATCCTTAGTGGACACTCAATTATTTAGTAGAAAATGGTTTGTGTGCAGTGGTGGATGGAAGGGCAAATTTATCTGGAGTTAGATGAGAGAAATGAAAACATTGAGCTCAGTTTTAGATCCAACACGATACAATCATATTTAATTTAGGTTTTGACCTCCAGAAGTGGGTGGATGGACGGACGGATGTACAAATGGTCGGATGAATGGATGGATGGTTTGAAAAGGGAATAGGACAAAAAAGTCTGAAAATCGAACTGTTTTTCTGTGGTTCAATTTTTAACCTTCAAAGGTTTTCCGAACTTCCACAGTTTTCCAGACCCTCTCTGAATCTTAATGAGGAAATCAAATGGCCTCATTCTAAAGTGAAATTTGGAGACTTTTCCCCCCAGATGTTTTCAGGCAGTTAGGGAGTCTGTTGAGTCATATAATTACTAAGATGAGGAAAAATTACCACCTGATTTCCACACTGACTCAGCATTGCAGGTAAAAATCTCATAGTAACATCTCCAAGACTTTCACATTAAATTCACTAAAAGAATCACTCTCTAGACTATTAAATATTTAATATTTTTATCAATATTAAATATTTTTTTACTTAAACAAGCTCCTATATCTTGCTGAAATGCTATTTGTAAGTCAATGCATTTGAAATAAGATAAAACTAAGATATTTGCGGTTGGGAGTCTGACTAGATCAAGAATACTTGGTAAGGTTTGGTGGTTTTGCAGCGCAGAAGCAGCATGAAAAACAGCAATGAATCTTCTTACCTCTTTCCCAGACAGGTAGTAGGCAGACAGCAGACCTCCAACAAACCTGATGTTCACCTCAAACACAGAAACTTCTGCATTCTGCACCAAAAACAAAAACAAACACACAAGTCAGAAAACTTATATTAGTTCTATTGATTTTCATGTAAACTTGTTAGCCCAAAACTAAAGGTCATAATATATCCCCCAACTTTGTTTCATCATCTGAACCCAAAACAAAAGGGAACTCCAGCTCTGTCAGGGAGAGGTTTGGTTTATATTGTTGCGCTGATTGACTTTACAGAGCTGCTGGCATGGCTGCCTCTTCTGAAGCGGCTTAAATGCGACAATAAATCACAGGTCTGCTGATTTTTAAAAGCAGGCACAAATTAAATAAACAAGACAGCTGATTTCTTGCTGTCACAACCAACACTGCTACCCTGGACTGTTAAGTTTCCGAACATCGCTCCCAGAGGCGTCCAGGAAAACGAGTCAAAGAATAACTCCTGACTCTCTGATGGACATGGGATTCTGGGAAATGTTGTTTATTATTTCTGGCTGGAAGGAGTTAGCCTATTCAATTCCCTTTTCAAATAAAAATATAACTCTTACTGCCTAAAGTGTGATAACAGTGTTTCTTTGGTGTAAGATTGATCACTTGTGGTAAAGGATGCATTTGCAACTAAAGAAATACTGCCTACAAATTTGTTGACAATTTTTTGGATTAATAACTGGACAGTAAAAAATGCTTACTTTATAAATCAATTAATCACAATTAATTTGCTTAATCATAGCAACACTAAGACGTGACACAAAAACACATTAAATGGCAAGAGTCTGTACTTTTATAGCACTTCATCAAGTTCAGAGGACTCCAAAGCACTTTCCTCTAGAATCAGTCAGATTGTAGAGGCTAAAGAGAGTCTAAAATGCCAACTCCATTATTGTTGTCTGTTTCAAGTGAGTTAAAAACTAAATTTTAACGTTGTTTCTTAGTAAGCATAAGCATAAACAATAATATTATAATCTGCAAATTATTTCTAATAAAAAAAGACTTTGTACCATTTATCGCCATGTGTTAAACAGCACTAATACGTCCTCCAACTCTTCAGCTGCTCAATAAGACAGAGATTAAGTGAACAATATCTACAAAATAACAATGCCCATCTTTCTAGACAACAATAATAGCGCACCTCAAAATAACAGTTGTCATATTATTCGTCACTGGGGCAGAAAATTGGGTTTTTCTGAACAGATTCCTGAGTCAGATGAAGATTTTGAGCTTGACTGACAGCTCTCATAAGCCGCTGCTGCCAAACTGAGATATGACAAGAGGTTGTCCTGTGGGAAAAACAAATAGAAAATATCTGAATTCTGAAAGCCGGAGATGCTGAATGACGAGGTTGACAGTTTGGTTAATTTCTGCTGATTTAAACTCACAGCTGGAACCAGAAGTTTGCATACACAAAATAAATGCATTTTTTTTCACACCATCTAGAGTTAAAAACAAAAGGTCTCTCTTTTTTTTTTTAGCACATTTACAATGAAAACAGCTACAGAATAATCTCTGACATATTCTTGCTCTAATTATTGCAGAAGTTAGTGAATAGAAATAATTTTGCAATCCTACCAAACACTGAGGAAATGTATGTAAACTTCTGATTTTGACCACATTATTAAATAAATCTGACATTTTTTCCTCTTATTATTGTTTTTTTAGCAAATAGAAATAATTCTGGTAATTCTAACTGATCAAAAACAAGAGAAGTTTGGTCTGATTTAACTTCAGACAGACAGGAAAATACTCATCCCACTTCTTTCTCTTTAATTTATTCAAAACTAAAACTGAATAACTACTTTTGGACTCTTTAATTTTGCCAAGTCAGGATGATTATTTCTTCCCATATACAGCAGTGATTTATTCATGTGCTGGCCTTCAGCAGCTATTACAGCTTTAAACTGTTGGGCAATGACCCTGTGAGTCAGCATTTATATGACACCATCTCCCTCCTGAAAAAAAAAGGTTGGCAAGCTCAGAGTCGAGTCTCCTGATGTTGCAACATTTAGGCCATTACGGAGCTTGCAGGAAACTGACTAAGCGTGGCCATTTCCAAGCTGAGAACGATTTGAGGGACTTCAGCAAAAGCCAATGAGTTAATGATCCGTCTTTGGATCTGAAAGGAAGCCTATCATCACCAAGCATCTGCTCTCTTAAAACGCCAAAAAGTGAAAGTTGAGAGCATTTTGAGAGGCTCCTCCTGGAGAAATAATCAAAATATGCCTGTTGGTACTTTAAAGAAGAGTGGCAAAAACAGATGAAGTGGATCAGCAGAGCTTGTCAACAAGTGATGAAGATGTAATGTGATACATTTAAAAGTTAACATGTCACAAAGACTCTTTGATGATACTTTAATGTTGAAGTATTTCTGACTAGAATGAATATTGTATAAATACAAGCGGGGATAAAACAGATTAAACATGATGAATCGATTATTTGAAATAATCGTCAACTAATTAAGTAATCAATTAATCGTCAACCAAAGTATAAAGACTCACAAAAAGCCAAAACTGCACAAAAATACATAGATTTTTTGCATTTAACATAAAAAAGAAACTTTCTTACTTATTTTATGTATTTCTAACATTGTTTTAGCTAAATCTCAAGTTGAATAATTTTAATTTTATCTGCTTTAGATGTTATTGTATTTTACTCATTTGCATTCTTGTTTTTTTGTTTAGAAAATACATTGTTTATTTGTATTGTTAATGTATGTCTGATGTAAACTAAAGGTGGATGAAATTTGGTAATGTTCTATTTGATTAATCATATGATTAATCGATTAATCACGTGAATGATAGCAATAATTGCATTCAGCTCTAAATGTTTTTAAAGTATCTAGTAGTGTAGACATGGCAGAACGAAGTCATTAACAACATTGTCATATCCCAGTTCTCCCATTCATAATTCTTTCTATCCTCCAGGAACCAGTAGCATGCTAACGCCTTCCCACTTTAAATCCTCTAAATTGTCTCTACAAACTGTGCCCTGAGCCGTACTTCTCTGGGTTTTTGACTCCTGCAGGAAATAAGAAGTTTATGCCAGGAAACAATTGGCTCTGCTGATATAATCCAGTTTGACTGACAGGCCAACAACTGCCACACACTGAAATCAGGAAGGATTATGCAAAAAAGCAGCAACAGCAAAAAAAAAAAAAAAAAAAGAAGAAGAGATGTGGCTTCATTTTACGAGCACATGAAGAAAAACGTCTCGTATTCAGAGCATGAAACCTTTTTCTTTAGACAGAAAACTAGACAAACAGGCTGATTTCCTGTCAGTTGTGCCTGTTACAGCTGATTTTCAGTTTTATTTGGTTGGTTTAGATGAATCTGGTTACGACACCGATCTACAGAGCTAAAATGGTTTTCTGCCTCTTCTCAATGAGAGGCTCTTAATCATAATGAGGATGGCTGGAGAATAAAGGGAAACATCAAAGGAGAAGAGGGTAAACTGTCTGCACTGTACAGACGTTCATATCTTCAGGAACACAAGCCGCTGAGCTCATTAGTCAACGCAGAGTAAAAAGATATACAGTCCTATTTCACCTAAATAATCTTTAACTAACTCCATTAAGAAAACTCAAGATTTATTTCTGGAGGTTTTAACTTTTAAAGCGCCTGGTATGATGATTTGATTGGGATTTTATTGACGACAATAAGGAGAAATGAAGGAGAACTAAATTTATGTTTTGTTTTTTTAATCCGTACAAGAAGCTTTCATAGCTTTAGTCTTTATCCATTAGCAACTAAAGTCCTTCAGTAAATAAAACAGTATTGTATTAACTCAAGGTAAAAGTATTTAGCTGTGTTCATCATATTCATGAACCTAAATCAGATTTTTTATCTCATTTCTAAATTACTTTGATAAAAAAAGGAATATGTTTAATTATCAGCATTGTAATGCTGTAGACTGAGGAGGTTTGAATAAAATTTTTTAAATCTGCATCCTTTGTAAATTCGGTTCTTTAAATGATATGGCTCAGGGCGGCATAACCAACGGGGCGTCGCAAGACATCAACTTTCAAGCTTTTATTTGAATCTGAACATAAATAAATCTTTGCCCATTTACAGCTTTATTTTCACATTTATTTAACTACTTTTTCATTTATTTTTGCAACTTATTTGCAATCACACTAATACAATTTTGTTATATTACTACACAGCAGAGCAGTATGCACAGGTGTTTCTCTGGAACGTAATTTTAAATTATTCACATAACATTTTTAATTTTATTAGTTTTTGCATATCTTGTCTTTCTTGTTTTCTTCACAATATTTTTTTAATTATTATTTGTAGGTCTTGCCAAAGCACATATGACACCTTTGAGCCAAAGAGTCTCATCAGAAACATGATAACTATGATATTTTATTAACTTACCACATTGAAGTCCAAGTTTTTCTCCACCCATTCTGTGGCAGCTTCAAACTCCTCAAACATTTCCATGATGTAGAGCGTATCAAGAGCGTCCACTATTGTTGCACCTTTTATACTCCCTGGAAGAAACAGAAAAAAAAAAACACATATTATAATAGAGATTCAAAGATTAATCAGAAAAATTGTGATTTATCTATTGTTGAAATAATCATCAACTAATTTCGTTATCAATTAACGGGATTCAAAACGGGATATTTACTGAAAGAACAAAACAGTCAGAGCTGTAATCAAGATAAAATTGTACAAAAATATATATACATTTGATATTTATGGTAAAAAACAAATATTGCATAACTGTACAAATCAAAAAGTGTAAGCTCAAGGAATGGTGTATTGTTGCATTTCAATAAATAAAATGTTAAAGAAATTGAATTATTTTATTCTTGATGTATTTATAATATTGTATAAAAAGACTTAAATAAAAAATCTGTAAAATATGCCATTTTGATCTGAATAATCAAATAATCACCGGAATATTTGATAAATCGATAACAAAAATAATCTTTAGTTGCAGCCCTCATTTAAATGAAAAGTGTTCGCAGGTTTTTGTGTCATAAATGTATATTTAATTTGCCGTCTATTCAGCAGGATCAGAAATAGATTTAACGAAGGCATAAAAAGATTTCTGAGTTGTTGAAAGCTTTATCCGAGTCCAGATGTTGGCCTCAAATTTACAGCAAAGTTCTGAAAAAGCCGTTAAAGTTATAGAGGTAGAGTAAATTATTAAGCAGGCAGATGGCGAACGGTACAGAGGATCCGATGAAACGTAAAAACTTCTGTTCATCTGCAGGGATTGATATAGCAGGAGGCAGGATATATAGATCATCATTTCAATGCACTCATTATTCCAACCAGCAACAAATGTGGGTCTGCGTCGGCGCCAAGCAGCTCCATAAGTAATGAAACATGCAGAGCTTTTAGTTCTGAACATAAAACCCAACACAGAGAAACCATCTGACCAATTAACCCTCTCAGGCTCAAATTACTTGCAAAGACTAGCTAAGTAGCATTTAGCTGTTGCAAATCTGCAACATCTGCCTGGAGAGGGTTCAAGGAAGAAAATGGAAGCAGTGCAAAGAAAGACGTACAACAGGAAGTAGAGCTACAGAGAACAAAGGAAGAAGAAACAAGTTTGCTAAATATGTTTCAGTCGTATTTTAATAAAGGATGCTTTATTAGACACAACGCTGATTCATAATATTATTATCCTTTATAAGCAGCGATGCTGCACTCTGATTATTAAAGTGAAACGTAAAAAGAACATGAAAGAGCATTTTGAAAACAGCCAATCCAGGAGCACCAATCATTTTCTTTGTCTTTGGGCTGCAGCCAATCAGCAACGAGATGATAAACTGCAGAAGTTAGCTTCTGCTGTCCAGTTTTCACTGATCATATAAATGATTATTAATTAATAATTGGTGTCTGAACCATTAAAATAAGCAGTTATGAGCATTTTAACTGAGATCTCAAAAATGAATAGATTTCAGCAACAATTTCTTGCTTTTAAAACCTGCAAATAACAGGTATGCTTTTTGCTTCATGAAACAACAAAATTAAAGTATGTAAACATGAAATTAAACATTTTCTAAGATCTAAGAGAAGATTTTTGGGAGATAAAAGTGATGCAGACATGAAAAAATGTTGCTTAAAGAGAAAAATAAATCTAAACGTCTCAATACGCATTACTGCTGTCATACAGATTTTTCTGTAATACTGAAGGAGTTTTCATCCTAATGGCCCGTCTGCAGAAAAAAGCAATGGAGCTGCCACTCAAATCTGCATTAACTAACCCTTTGAATGTATGAACGCTCCAAGTATCTCAGTGTTTTATTAAAGCAAAAGCTTTTCTTACAGACTTTAAAAAGGGACAAATTATCCAAACACCAATTAAAACTTAGAAAAGGTAAAACAGTGGCGTCAGTCATGTTTTCTGCTTTGATTCGTCTTCTTTTACGAAACTGTCAGGTTCGTTTGGCAGTTTAAATTGTTTCACAGTGGGAATAATTATCTTTCAGGCTTTTGTTTTTAATACACTAGTGTTACGACTGGCGTTGTAATTTTGCAAATATGAGTGTGCAGGTGCCTGTCTCTGATTGGTTCCCGCTCAAATTAAATGAACACAATTTACAAATAAAAAATATTTTTTTTAAATGTTTGCTAAGTTTTCTTCCATTTAATAAATAAAAATAATTTTAGTATTTTTAACTGACCTAAAACAAGAAAATTTTGTCTGATAAATTTTCAAACTGGGGGGAAAAAAATAACATTGTATGACAATATCTAGTTTCAACTGTAAATATTGTTCTCTAAATTTGGATTGCACTTTATTACAAAACAGAGCAGTTTGAATATCAAACACTTTCAAGAAGTTTCCAAACCTTGAAAACACCAAGTTTGATATTCAAAACTTTCAAGGATTCCAAGCTCCCTGAAACAGCTTCTAAAATTAGATCAAGGATCTGTATATTGATCCAGATGGAAAGGTGTGAGGTTGTGTGAAGGCTGGGTTTTGTCTGAGGTGTGTGAGCGCGTGTGTGTGTGCGTGTTTGTGTGTGTGTGTGTGTTTGTGTGTGTGTGTGCTGAGGCGGCAGATGGTTCAGCAGAGGAAGGAATCAGTGTGGCCTCTCCATAAACATGAGTACCAGAGGAAGAGATGACTCTTCAAGCACCGAGCGAGAGGGAAGGATCTGTGACGCTCGCTCTGGGCGTGCGAAAATTTTACTTTATATTGGAGATTTTGCAGAAATTAACAAACAGAAGTGCTTCTGTCAACAGCAACAAACAGTATATTTAGCACACCAACTCTTTTTTTCTCTCCATATTTCCTGTTGAAAAAATTAAGCTCAACTTAAAATGCAACTCCAATGTTGGTCCATATGCAACTTTCAATTTCAACTCACTACATTTCTAATCGTATTCTTCCAAGTTTTTCCACATTTTGTCGCGTTTCAGTCCCAAACTGCAGGATTTCATGGGATCAAACGATACTAGCTGCAATTCCATTGATTGTGTGATTTATTTTATTTTGAAAATAAATTTGCTGAATGGAAACAAAACTGCAATTGAAGCATTTCTTTGCATGACATGATGTTGCTACTGGCGGAAACGACAAAGAAGACGACAACAGGAAAGAGTCGGAGAATCATGTTTTTAATGACTTATCGTGTGAATATATGTATTTATTTGTGATTTTATTTGTGTTTCTGACTTTATGGAAATACTGCAAAAGTCAAATTAAAAGAAAACTGACGAAGTTCTGCGCACATTTGTAATAGAAATTAAGATAATGTAGCACATATCCAAATTGTAAGTAGGATTTGATACTAAGGCTTAAAAACAAAACCAGATTTTTTCTTACCAGATCTGATTTAACATTTATTGATCTTTGAGAATGTGTTCTTGCATTATTATGCCATCAGTATTAATGAAAGTACTCAAAATGACAGAACCATTAACTTGAATTCAAACTTCAAATAAATAGAAGTTTGCCAAACAAGATGGGGGCTTTAGCCATGCTGACATCACCAAGAAGTGCTTTGGTGAAAAAAAAAATCCAAAAAGAATCTTCAAAAACCAAATAAAGTTTTCACCCGGCTCTCTGTTAAAGCATATCCATTTGTTAAAATGGTCTAGTCAATGTCCTGACTTGAATCCAATTGGCAAAACAGATTTATGTTTTTTGATGTTTTATCCAACCTGGCTGAGCTTGTTTTACACTGAAGCCACAGAAGCTGAAGGAGGGAAGAAATTGACAGATGGATGAAAAATGGGAAAGCCAGTGTCCCCAGAAGACAAGAATCATTACGGCTCTGTTCTGAGGTAGGACACAAGGATAGATTGCAGCAAACAGAGGCAGAAAAATGAGAGGAAGGGGGTCCAAAAGTCATTAACCAACATTATTCTTCTTTTCCTGTGAAACACACTCCATCCACTCCTTCCTCTTCCAACACCCACTTCTCTTCTAACGACAGATTCATCAATATTTTATCCAACTTCTCCTCCTTTCATGAAAAAATCACCAACATTAACCTTAATAATTAAATGCATCATTAAGACGCGACGTCACACGAAGTCCAGATTCATGTCTAATATTTAAAAATCAGCAAAACAAATGGGAGAAAGTGGCATGAATAGAGTCTTAATGCACAAATTGGAGGCAAACTGAAAGCTTTCTGTTTGTGTGGGAATGTGACTGAGCCACTTTTATTTTGAAAAGCACAACCCTTCATGGACTGGATGAAAACCAGAAATAAAAACAGACTTGCAATCTGTGAACACACTTTAACTTTGAGAAAAATAAAACAGCTGTTTCCACCTGAATTGGACCTGGTTGCTTAACTTAGCTACAAAAGTTAAGCTGTGTGATGAGTTTGCCTTTTGCCAATTGCCTTTTAGTTAATCAATTACTAAATTAGTTGTTTTAGTAATCGATTAATCACGACAAATCCAATAAATCACAATTAATCTGATTAATTACACTTAGCCCAATTAATCATTTTAGCCCTAAGACAAGAGTAACCAACATAGCTGAAACTTAAAGTGTTAAAACAAAAATAATCATTATTTGTGATAAACAAGGAGGAAAATAGATCAAATATTCCAAATTAAAAGGGAAAAATATGCTGATCCTTAAATTTTTTTTTTAGAAGAGCATTTTGTGTCAGAAGGACGCAGGTGGAGCAAAAAGTTAACAAAACGTGAAGGTGTAAGTCAGTATGAAGGGCAATGCTCCCTTGTGTCTGGGCATACACAAGCTTCCTGAGCACACTGAGGACCACTGTGGGCATCATCAGTGTGCACGGCGTAATCTTTGGGCTGCGCTTGGTCTGGTTCCTCACCTTGGACCCGTCTGCATCGGGTGGCCCAACCAGAGGCATGAAGCCCCGACAGCATAACTCCTAGGATCACTGGGACACTCAAACCCCCCACCACCATAAGGTGGCAGCCATGGAGGGGACGTGTAAATGTGTGCATGTGTGTGTATTAAATAACCTGTTAACTATGAAGGAAAGAGAGAAAGTGAGAGACAATGGAAGAAAGTTGTTAACATGAGGAAACG